CCATGGACCGAAAGGTAAACCTGGCCACATCTGGATACCCAGAACCGATTCCGGCAGGGTCCCAAAACAGAACACTTCCAAAACCTCATGTACTGGTAGGTTATGGAAGTGTCCTTTTGTCCCCTATCGCAACTGGTTTTTTGATTTGATTTTTTTTTATCGCAACTGGTACTAGGTAGCATAAATGACCAAATTGAAAAAAAAAAAAATCATGGGAAGGGCTAACGCTAATGCACAATGTGTAACTTTTTCCTAATGCGTTAGGTAGGTTAAAGTGTGCACAAATGTCAGTTTGTATTGATAGTAGGATCTGAAATGTCATTCGTTTTAGATGTCAAGCAGCCATGGACGTAAAAATGGAGGATGTTATAAATTTGTATGAATTTGTGTGTTACCTTTTAGAAGCTGAAATCTCTTAGAATTAATGTAACATATATTTGTCGAAACATTATAGAGGTACAAAGGAACCATGCTTGGAAAATTCGTCCAATATCAGGGCTTAAACGCATTCCAGCAGTGCTGGAACTAAAACGTGCGTGCCAGCTGTGATTAATTTTCATCGCATTCTCTGCTTGAACGTCAAGCAGTACAGTTCGGTCTTTGCTCGATAAACCTATATAGTTTGTTACAAACGTTCGCAGATATACTGCACGTCGCGTCGTCAGTAGTGTCGGTCGCATCGCGTGATGGGAAGACAGCGCTTCCGGAGCAGACTTCGTGACCAAGCGGCGAAGAAGAACAGTGGTAAAGGTAGCTTGGTACCTACCTCAAATAGATGCGCCACTCTTCCCACCGATGTTGGGAATACCAACCCAGTCCCGGTGAAGCGTACGAAAAAGAGGAAAAAGAATCAAGGACAGTCCGATGGTATGAGCGGACGTGACGAACGCCAGCGATATCGGTGATTTCGGCGAAGCCGTCGAAAACGAGAATTCTTCCGGCCCGAGTGCGGCGAAAGTCAAGCTTCATCCACTGGTGGTGAAGGTAGTGCCACTCAAGACGCTCATTGGCGATTTTGCATCGCCGTCAAATTCCTGAAGGATTCCAATGCGGAATACTTCACGCACCACATCCCCGGTGAAAAGCCCTTCAAGGTAGTTATCAGGGGTGTACCGAATGTTGATCCCAAGGCGATCGTGATCGTAGAAGAACTTAATGACCGGTACAAGCTGGCCCCAATCGCTGTCTTTCAGAGGACGAGGAGATCCAAGTGCTCGGTAAGTTCATCATCCTGTATGGCGTCTAAACTATCGTCACCTGGGATGCTTGCTCTGTAGAAAAGCAAAAGAGATTGAGCTTGCCGACTTCCTCCGCAAGCACAGCATCGACGTGGGCCTTCTAACCGAGACCCATCTAAAGTCCGGCGACAGCTTCTGGTTGCCTGACCACAACATTATTCGGCTTGATCGCACCAGCTCCAGGGGGTGTTGTTGCGGTCGTCGTCAAGAATGGAAAAAAATACTACACTCTGTCCCATATCCGCACCTCAATCATCAAGGCCCTTGGTGTGGAGGTGGAGTCGTCGACTGGATACGTACAGTTCATCGCCGTCTACTGCCCTCGACAGTGTGCCACCAGCAGTGGACTAGCGGCTAAATTCAAGAAGGACCTGTCCGACATCACCCATACCGGATCCCGATTCGTAGTTGGAGGAGATCTAAATGCCCGCCATGAGGCCTGGTCGAACTACAGGTAGAACCAGAACGGTCGTCTGCTGTTCGACCACTCGCAGCATGGGCTGTACTCCATTTGGTATTCGAATGAGACGCTAGACCTGTTCCTGACAAATACCGACTTGTCCAAGCCGGTAGCCTTGAACGAACTCAGCTCCGACCACCAACCGGTGCTGGCTGAACTGGGCTACATCGTGGCCCCTGCTCCAAGTTTGCACAAGGTCTACCACCGCGTAAACTGGGCCCAGTTTGGACGCGTGGTAGACAGGCACATCATCGACAACCCGCCGCTTGACACCGTGGAGGACATCGACAGAGCGTTGGAGGGACTCCACCAAGCCATAACCGTTGCTGACGAGGCGTGCGTCGAACGAGATCCTGTGAGGGATAAGTTTATTGCCATTGATTCCCACACCCAACTCTTGATTCGCATGAGAAATGTTAGTAGACGCCAGTTTCAGAGGACTGGAGATCTGGGCAAAAAACGTGAAATGGCCGACCTGAACAGGCAGATTGCTTCAAGAATGGACTCACTCTGAAATGAAAGTTTCGGCCGTGTTGTCCAGAGTCTGGACGACCGCTCCAGACCATTCTGGAAGGTAGCCATAAGGTCCTGAAAACTTTCAGAGTCGAAAATGATGACGATCGGCTTTTAATCACCCCACAAGAGAAAGCAAATGCGATCGGCGAGCATGTCGCTTCATCGCATTTGCTTGGCTCGAATATCCAAAGTCCGCTCGAAGATCAGGTTGCGCAATGCGTTCAAAACCTAGATGCTTCCCCTTGTGCCGTGCCTTCGTCGGATATGATTACAGTACAACAGATTTGCTCTGCGCCGAAATGCACCAAGAACATGAAGGCTCCCGGGTTTGACGGTATATTCAACTTGATCTTGAAGAGATTAAGCATGAAAGTGCAGTGGACTAACCGCTATCTTCAACAGATGCTTGGAACTGCACCAATCATACCAATCCGCAAACCCGGTAAGGATCCAACATTGCCTTCAAGCTACAGACCAATCAGCCTCCTTTCAGCGCTGAGCAAATTGTTCGAGAAACTGATTCTCAATCGTTTGCTCAAGTTTGTCGAGGAAAATAACATTCTCCTTCCGGAACAGTTTGGATTCAGAAAGGGGCACTCCACCAATCATCAGCTAGTACGGGTGATGAATAACATCCGAAGTAACAAAGCTGTATCCAAGTCCACAGCCATGGCCTTGTTAGACGTTGAAAAGGCGTTTGACAATGTTTGGCATGACGGACTTATGTACAAGCTTTATAAACTTCAACTTTCCATTACATCTGGTTAAAATCACCCATAACTACCTTCAGCAAAGGTCGTTTAAGGTGTCGTTGAATGGTTGTCTTTCAGACACGTTTTCCATCCCAGCAGTAGTCCCGCAAGGCAGTCTACAGCATCTACACTTCCGACATTCCTTCCCTCGGAGACGGTTGCGTGTTTTTCCTGTTTGCAGATGATACCGCAATAGCCGTCAAAGGAAGGATGCCTCGCGAAATAACGAAAAAGCTTCAACGATGCCTTAACGCCTTTGCTGATTATGCCACGTGGAAAATCAAAATCAATGCCTCCAAAACACAAGCGATCATGTTCCTCCATCGGCAATCACCCATACTGAAACCGGCTCCATCTTGTACTGTAATCATGGATGGCACAAGGGTTGAGTGGTCTGCGGAAGTAACCTATCTCGGGATGTTGTTCGATGAAAAACTCCTCTTCCGTTCGCATGTAGAGAAAACAGTAGTCAAGTGTTCTGCCTTGGTTAGGTGTCTGTATCCGCTGATTTGCCGCAGATCCCCCCTCTCAAGGGTGAACAAACTGGTTGTCTACAAACAAATCATAGCACCTGCGATCCTCTACGCAGCTCCGGTGTGGGAATCATGTGCACAGACTCACAGGAACAAAATCCAGGTCACTCAAAATAGAGTGCTGAGGATGGTTCTTGATCGTCCCTTCGACACTAGAATAACAAATTTACACGAAGAGGCAGGCATTTCCAAAATAGATTCCAGATTTAACGAAATTAAGACTAAATTTTCACAAAAATGTATTTTATCAGAACATGCTTTGTTAAGCAATTTGTATATAGTAGATTAGGTGTATATTGTAGTTGTAGGTTAGTTGTAGTTGTAAATAGTAGTTATAAAGTGGTCTCCTTTTTCAAATTTAAAACAAACCAATCCCACCAAGGTGGTCATTCTTAAAACAGGCCTGATAGGATTAGGAACTGTAATTAATAATAATTGAAATTTAAAAGGAATTAAAGTTGAAAAGAAGCATCTGTGTCACTTGATAAGCAATACATGTGAACCACACAAATTCAAAAAAATATAGATCATTTAAAAGTCAAAATGTTTTACAGTCAGTTGTTGCTAATTCATCGAGTGTATGTCTCCTCTTAAGTTTTTTTTTTTTGAAAATGTTTGCTCTGCATGTTAAAAAAAATTTGTTATTACTAATAATTGTGGTTTGCTTAAAATTTATTTCCCGGAAAAAAATGAGCGTCATAGTCCATGTCTTTTATATCTTTTCAGGTTCAAGCAGAATGATGTGCTACCAAGTGGTATTCGTTTATGATGACTGGGTTTGGGGAAAACGTTTAGTTCATGAAAACAGTGACCAAAATTATCATTTGCGCAGTTTTCAATAGTTTTTCGATTAAAAATTGGAAAATTATTTATTTCAGAAGATTCGTTAAGTAATATCCTATCGATTGGCGTATTTGGATTTTAATTTCATCTATAAATGACAAAGTTACAAGTGTTCAAAACCTAACACTATTCTACGTCAAAATCGTTGTTTGTGGTCCAATTTTATTAATCGCTCTTCAAGCTTCTCAAGCTTGACAAAATGCCGGTGAGTCAAAAAAAAACATCAAAAATTCTGGGGGGGGGGGGCTAGATAATTCTGGAGGGGACCTGGCTCCCTTGGCACCCCCATTAGCTACGCCAATTCAGTGCGGTCAATTACGCGCGACTGCCAGTCAGAAGAAGAGAATCGTTGATTTTGCAACAACCTAGTCGCTGCTAGCCCCGCTTCCGCAAGGGCCGTTGGATACAAGACTAGAGTTGGCAAAGAACTTAGGAGGAATAAGTCCGAGCCCTATTCCGTATCAGGAGTTGTGATAGGATTAATCACCCGACTCACTTGAGATTCTGAACAAGACTGGTAATATTTATTTCGCTTTTGTACAAAGTTCTAATATTTGTATATCCAAACCTTTGGTGCCGTGCGCACCGATCCGATGCAGTCCTTCTTGGTGCCGGGTGCACCAAACTCGCTGACTCGGCGGCGTCGGATGACGCCCGCTCAAACGTTGAGGTTGTTGCGCCTCGATGCTGCCTCCAGGGAGTTGAGGCGTCTCGTGTTACGTCGCCACTTCCAGGCGATGATGATGACGATGGCTATTAGGATGAAGCCACCGTCCACCGAATATGAAATCACATCGTGCGTTGTGATATTGCTGTGTTCTACCGTCTCCTCGTCTCCGAAGGGCCACATTTTCGATACTTTGTTGTAGCGCTGGTGGATTGAACAATGATACCACTCAGTCGTGGTGCGATCGAAGTTGACTCTTCGCCAAGTCCAAGTGGATGGGTGCACATTTTCTGCTGACAATGCGCTCTCGATTTGGTGCTATGTGGTGTTCGCCAAGCTCGTCGGTTGGGAACAAGTTTTGCCGATGAAGTTTTCTTCGACGATCATATTTTCTGCTACGTTGGGACTTCTTGGTGAGAATCCCGTCGCCATAATTTCCGTTGGTTGTTTTTTGTTGATGGCTAACCAAAGTGCAACCATCATATTTCTTTCAGCGATAGGGTGACCACCCATTCCGCCTCTTGATCACTTCCATTTTCTCCCCCCTTTGGGACGAGGACGCAGGCGATTGTCCCAAATTGCTTGAGGTAGGGGGTCCTCTTCATGCTCTACCAATTCGCTGATTGAGGATCGTTCTGTGTTGTTGTTGACTGCTGGTAACTCGATAGGTAATGGGGCCAACAGTCGAATGTTGCGTTTGTAAATATTAGGCCCGACGCGAACCGTGGCAACTCGCACGACGCCGTCAGCACCTGGATGCGTACTGGTTACGATACCCATAGGCCATTTTGCTACAGGATTGTGGTCATCTCCAATGAGGACAACTTGTCCCACTTCCAAGTTGGGCTGCTTCTTGGTCCATTTGGCCACGCAGCGCAGATGTTGCAGGTATTCGTCCTGCCACCTCCGCCAAAACTGCAGAGTTTGATGTTGAATACGCTTCCAGCGTACCGATATGCTCCCATTTTCGATGAATTTGCCTGGGATGGGCAGAGCCGTCATTGGTCTTCCTATAAGGAAGTGACCTGGAGTCAGTGGTTCTGGGATGCTAGCGTCCGTCCAGACCACTGTGAGGGGGCGAGAGTTCATAATGGACGCCACCTGGTAGAGTACGGTCTGCAATTCCAGAATATTGAAGCATGCCCCACGGGCTGCTGCTGTGAACAACCTTTTTGCAACTTTGATGTTAGCTTCCCAGAGCCCTCCAAAGTTTGGGCTTCGGGGTGGTATGAAGGAGAAATTTATTCCCTTGTCGGCTGCTATTCCGACCACTTCGTCTTGAAAGATCTCATTGTTGTAGATTTTCCGTAGCTCTGCAAGTTCTCTACCTGCTCCGACAAAGTTTCGACCGTTGTCCGAGTAGATTACCTCTGGCTTACCGCGCAGCGAAGTAAATCTCATCAAAGCAGCAATGAATGCACCGGTGGACTGATCTTCCACCACTTCAAGATGAACTGCTTTTGTTGAAAGACAGACGAAGATGCACACGTACACTGTCATCCTCGTTTTGGCCCGTGGGCTTAGTAAAATCTGAAATGGACCGCATAGGTCTACTCCAGTGTGGGTGAATGCTGGGGATGGATTCACCCTGGGTCTTGGCAACTGACCCATTTGCTGTTGAAGCTTGCGCGGCCTAGCTCGTACGCACAAGATACATCGATTGACGACAGTTTTGGCCAGTTTTCGGAGATTTCGCATCCAATAGCGTTGCTGGAAATCCGCGATCATTGTCTCCATGCCTGCGTGGAGATTTCGTCGATGAATGTGGTCCAGTATAACCTTTCCAAAGAAATGCTCTCGGGGTATTACAGCTGGACGTCGTTGATGCTGGGGTAGGTCGGACAGGCTAAGCCTGCCCACGATGCGGATGAGTCCATCTTCGATGATTGGACTGAGATGTTGAAAAGGGCCCTGCTTTGTAGGGGTTCCTTGTTCTTCCAAGTGAGCGAACTCCTTTGGATAACTGACGCGCTGTAGATGCTTGACGATCAGTTGCTCACCGGCCTCCAATTCGCTGACGGTTAAGGGCCCGAAGCGTGGCTCTCGGTCAACCCCGCGACACTTGATGGCCGCTGATTTAGACATGAAGTTGTTCATGGCCCGATTGATGACGGCGAAATGCCTTCGCGTCTTCTGGAACGAGTTATGGTGCGGGTAACTTGATATTAAGTCGTCCACCTCACTGATGGTGTTGTCTCTGTCGGTTGATGAGCAGATTGCTATCACTTGCGGAGCGTCATATGCCTCCACGCGCCGCCTGTTCTCTAGCGCATGGTTTGTGGCATGCAGCCACATATCCTTTTTCGTGGTTAGAAGTTTTCTCACGGAAATACCTCTCGAGACTATGTCCGCTGGGTTCTGATCGGTTGGCACATAGCGCCAATCCGCTCGCTGCGTAAGGGACTGAATTACGTTGATTCTATTGCGAACGTACACCTCACTGTGGGGTACGCTGGAATGAATCCAAGCCAAAACTACTTGGGAGTCGCACCAGTAGTATGTTTTCTGAACGTGCGTTGGTATAATGGAAATTACTCTTTTCATTAATTCTGCTAGCAACTTTGCTCCCAGAAGTTCTTTTCGTGGGAGGGTGATATCCTTTATTGGCGCCACTCGAGATTTAGCGCACAATAGGTTCATGGATATTCTACTTTTCTCGTCTATGCAATATGCATAGATCGCGCAGCCATAAGCCAGGTTAGACGCATCTGAGAATCCATGCAGTTCCAAGTGCACAGGATTGCTAGAAATCGCCTGGCGGGGAATTGCCAAGCTAGCGAGTTTTTTCAACGTTTTCTTCAGTTGCTGCCATTCATGTTGCGTATCAGTGGGGATTTCGTCATCCCACTTTAACTTAATTTTCCAAAGTCCTTGAAGAAGAATTTTGGCTGTGATTATTATTGGCTGCATGATGCCCAGTGGATCGTACAGTCGCAATATCTCTGAGGCAAGCTGCCGTTTGGTCATTTTCTCATGGGAATTTACCTGGTCATCCGCGATGCACCGGAACGTATCGGCTTTAGGCGACCATGCTACACCTAATGTTTTTATGATGTCATGGTCCCCGATTCGAATTTCTTTCTCCAAGTCCTCGTCTGATACTCCAGCAAGGATGTCGACGTCGTTGGATGCCCACTTGCGCAGAGGAAAACCTCTCTTCATCAGGGCTGATTCCACTGCCTTCCGCTTCTCCAACAGCTTTTCGACTGAATCTCCCCCCATCATGAAGTTGTCCACGTAGAAGCATTGTTGAATAGCTTCAGCAATTTCAGGTTGTTCGGCCCGAATTTCTTCTCCGACCTCATGAAGCGCTCGGCATGCCAGGAAGGATGATGCCGCTTCGCCGTACGTTACCGTTTTCAATCGGTATACTTGTATTTCTTCGGAGGGATCGTTCCTCCAGAGGATGCATTGGAACCACGAATCCTCTTCGTGAAGATTTACTTGTCGATACATCTTTGCGACGTCGGCTGTGGCCACTTTGTCGTGGCATCGGAAATCCAACAGCAGGTCGAATAATTCACGCTGTATAACAGGACCACTGTGTTGAATGTCGTTGAGCGATATGTTGCTTGACGTTTTTGCACTGGCGTCAAATACTACTCGTAGTTTTGTTGAAGTGGAATCTGGCTTGATTACACAAGAATGCGGTATGTAGTACCTGATCTTGGATTTGTCCTTGGGGTGGACTATTTCCATGTGATTCATCGCGAGGTATTCAGCCAGAAATTCTCTGTACTGCTTGTATACTTCCGGATGGTGAGCAAGGCGTTTTTCCAAGGATAGTAATCGCCGTTTTGCCTGCTCATAAGAATGGCCTAATAACTGTGGCTCATTTTTAAAAGGAATGCGGACTACATATTTCCCATCCGCTCCTATCGTCTTGCATTTCTGGAAATGCTCCTCGCATGCATTCGCGCTGTGACAGGGCTTCGCTTCCGCAGAAGTCACCTCCTCAAGCGCCCAAAAGCTCTTGAACAGATTATCTAGTCCTTGATCCTTGTCGCTATGATCTGGGTCCGGTGCGCAATCTGACTCTCGTAATGCTTCAGGCTCAGCTGCGATAACAGCCGTGGTAGCTCGTCGTAGCGCTTGCAACGATGCTAGTCCGCCGACAAGCCACCCGAATGCGGACTCTTGGAAGATTGGTCCGCTGCCCAGATTGATGGATCTGGGTCCAATGATTTGGAAGAATATTCGCGATCCAAGCAATATCTCGACTGGTTGCTTTCTATAGAAGAGTGGGTCAGCCAGCTCAATGCCCGCTGGCACCCTTATTTCCCCTGCGTGTAGTGTGATACTGGGTTGGTCTTCAACCAGGCGTGGGCCTACCATCATATCTACTGTCATTGCTAAATCGCCACTCCTAGATGCGATTTGAGTTGTGATTTTTCGTCGTGCATTAATACCCCCGCTAATTCCCTTTATGGTCAGCTGGGTTTCCGAAAAAGGCAACCCAAGAATTTTGGCTGCCTCTTCACTTATAGTTTCGACCTGACTGCCCGAGTCGAGCAGGCACCTTACTTGGTACCAAGACGTAGCTCCCCTCACTTGGATGAGGGCGGTAGCCAGGAACACGTAGCTACCTCCTAGTCAATGGGAGGTGCTGGTCGAGGCCGAAGCCGAAGACGTCGATCCTTCATTTACTTTTTGGGTTGGCTGCGGAGGGTTTTCCGCGGCTTCGAAATGCAGGAGCGTATGATGGCGTGCCCCGCATTCCTTGCAGTTTACGTTGGAGGGGCACTTTTGTACTGAGTGCCCCCAAGACATGCAGTTGTAGCACCGTCTGGCCTTGGAGACAGCCTCCCACTTCTCCTTGATGGAAAGCTTATTGAAAGCAGCGCAATAGAAGATGCTATGCTCTTTGCTTCCGCAAATGAAGCAATTTTTCTGATTGTTTTGTGGCTTGTCCTGGATGCTTTTTGAGGATTTGGCTTCCCTGTCATTCTTTTTAGTGACGGCTGCAGCTGCTACTGTTTTCACGTTTCGAGTTTTGTGCTCTTCAAAGTCGGAGTAACAGGCTAATTGGTTAGCCCGTTTTTCCAGCTCCTCCTTAAACTCCTTCCAGGTGTAGACTTTGTGGATGTCCATCCGTTCTTCTATCTTGGATGCTGTGTCTCCATCCAGCCGAGCCTTTGCTAGGCTCACTAGCAGACCGTTTGCTACGCAGTCCAAATCGTTTCCAATTCCGTTCTCGATTTGCTGTGCTGCGTGGATGGTGGTGTCCACTGCGTCGATGAGTGCCATGATGGCCTTTGCATTGGGAGAGTTTAACTTTTTAACCTTTATCAGTTTTACGAAGTAGCCCTCATATGCTATTCGTTTTTTATAGAAACGAGTTTCTAGCTTTGCCCAAGCTTCTGCGAAACTCGATCCGGAATTTTCCAGGGCTTCGATGGAATTACGCGCGGGCTCGAAATGCTCCAGGCACTTCGATAGAAACGCGTATTTATCAGTGTCTTCACCTATGGTTGCAATCCTTTTCTCAAACCGGGCCTTGAAAGCTAACCATTCTGTAGGTGAGCCGTTGAATCGGGGCAAATCAATACGTGGTAGATGATCGGTCCGGTTGGGAACTTGTTGAAACGTTTGATCCATCGCAATTGGTACTTGACGCTCGGCAGGCTCCAGCGCCTGCTGCAAATTGTCCAATTTGCATTTTGCTGCTACATACACTTTCATGATAGCAGCTCTCCTATCTGGTAGCGGGCCCTTGTGGCCTTCAAACTTCAATAATGTCGAGCAGGCTTGAGTGTAGAGCCCATCGATTATTGAAGCATTCGTCCTCACTTCCGCCCGGCTTGGGTGGTTTTCCGGAGTTATTTTATCCAGGTCAGCGGCCAATTTTTTTATGCCGCTTTCCAGAGCAGCTAACTGGTTTTTTACCACATTCAACTCGTCCTCATCCATAGTGGTGCTGCTTCAGGTCACTTAGAGAAATGAAGTGACTTACCTTTTCCCCACGGGTGCGGGTTAGTAGGGAGACGCGAGTGGTGCGTATCAACTCTTACGATCACACGTTTGTAACTATGAGCCGTCGGCTCAGCTGCTAATCAGCACTGAACACGCACGGAAACAATTTCTAGTTCTTCACTACACAGTACCGAGCGCGAACGGGGATGTCGAGCAGGCACCAATTGCTACCGTCACTGTTCCCGTTCGCGTTGAGCCGTCGGGGCCTCAATCACTGATCGAATTTATATTGCTTTAGGAGCGACCGCGTAGGGGCAAACTTAACTTCACTCGCGGCCGGACCAATGTAATAGCGCCGACGGCACTGCGATAGCCGATGGGCAATTAATTAACGACTTTGTTTAAGCACAAGATTAAAATTGAATTGCCCTCTCCACACGGGGCGACTAGCACTGTTTTCAGATTGCCCTCCGTAAGACAATTTTTACACTTCACTCTGTGCGGGTTAGTTTCGGTTCACTTTGTTGCCCTCTGCGGCAGCAAAATTCAATTCACTTCGCTGTCCTCCGTACGGACAATTTTCAATCACTTCGTTGCCCTCCGTGTGGACAAATTTCAATTCACTTTGGGTCACTTTGTTCGTCTCGCGGCAGTCTTGCGGGTTTTCACTGGCCCTTGCACGAGGGCTACACACTGCGGAAATTAACTTTCCGTGATTTTTTAGGATTGATTAGCACACGCGATCACACTTGATTGATTGCGCGACGACTAACGTGAGTGATCAGCCGGTGCTGATCACGTCGGGGTCACCAAAAATGATTTTGCAACAACCTAGTCGCTGCTAGCCCCGCTTCCGCAAGGGCCGTTGGATACAAGACTAGAGTTGGCAAAGAACTTAGGAGGAATAAGTCCGAGCCCTATTCCGTATCAGGAGTTGTGATAGGATTAATCACCCGACTCACTTGAGATTCTGAACAAGACTGGTAATATTTATTTCGCTTTTGTACAAAGTTCTAATATTTGTATATCCAAACCTTTGGTGCCGTGCGCACCGATCCGATGCAGTCCTTCTTGGTGCCGGGTGCACCAAACTCGCTGACTCGGCGGCGTCGGATGACGCCCGCTCAAACGTTGAGGTTGTTGCGCCTCGATGCTGCCTCCAGGGAGTTGAGGCGTCTCGTGTTACGTCGCCACTTCCAGGCGATGATGATGACGATGGCTATTAGGATGAAGCCACCGTCCACCGAATATGAAATCACATCGTGCGTTGTGATATTGCTGTGTTCTACCGTCTCCTCGTCTCCGAAGGGCCACATTTTCGATACTTTGTTGTAGCGCTGGTGGATTGAACAATGATACCACTCAGTCGTGGTGCGATCGAAGTTGACTCTTCGCCAAGTCCAAGTGGATGGGTGCACATTTTCTGCTGACAATGCGCTCTCGATTTGGTGCTATGTGGTGTTCGCCAAGCTCGTCGGTTGGGAACAAGTTTTGCCGATGAAGTTTTCTTCGACGATCATATTTTCTGCTACGTTGGGACTTCTTGGTGAGAATCCCGTCGCCATAATTTCCGTTGGTTGTTTTTTGTTGATGGCTAACCAAAGTGCAACCATCATATTTCTTTCAGCGATAGGGTGACCACCCATTCCGCCTCTTGATCACTTCCAATCGTCATTCGTCATTCTAAAACGTATAATCAACACGTCTTCTATAGCCTATATTCTCTACTGGTAAAGGATAACTCAAACCACAGATCAATTTTCATTTGATTCCAAAAAGAACTGATAAGCTGTCTTAATGATCTGAACGGATCAGATTCGCTCAGTAAGATGAGTCGTTTTACCCACCTCTACATAGAAGTTGGACACGAAAAAATCCGGACACGAAAATCTTGTAGGGATTTAAAAATGCGTTTTATTTTTAATTTGACCACTGTTTGATAGAATTCAAATAGCGGCCAGAGTAGGCAATCCACCTCATGCTGCTCCAGAAAAGACAGTAGTCTCTTCCGTGGGCACTTCTACTGGTCAATTAGCTGGTTCTTGGTCCCAAAAGTAACGGAAATTGCTTTCCAGACAAGGAACATTTTGGAGAATTTTGACTTCTTTTTGATTTTAAATTCTTCCGGGGCACTCTTCCGGTCATCCGAGGTATAACATTCCTGCCCATGGATTTGATCTTTGATGGATGGAAATTTCTTCCAAGAAATCTATGCTACGTTTTCAGAAGAGGACCGTGACCGTGAATATTTTGATCTTATTCAGAATTTTCAAGTGACATCAGCGTAAGTCAAATCAAGGTTCATGATATCTTAAAGGGTTTAAACAATTTAGAGGCATCTAAAGGTCCTGGCCCTGACGGTGTTCCGCCAGTTTTTATGAAAGCTTTAGCAACTGAACTTACTGCTCCATTATTTTGGATTTTCAATATATCACTGGAATCCGGAAACTTCCCTAAAATATGGAAAAACTCGTTTTTAGTGCCTATCTTTAAATCGGGCAAAAAATCTGACATACGTAATTATCGTGGTATAGCTATAATCTCTTGCATTCCGAAACTTTTCGACGCGATTGTGAATGAAAAACTCTTTCTTCAAATTAAAAACAGAATAACTACTATGCAACATGGCTTCTTTAAAGGCCGTTCAACAACTACGAATTTGCTCGAATTAATTAATTATTCCTTGAATGCAATGGATAACGGAAACCATGTAGAAGTGTTGTATACAGATTTCAGCAAAGCGTTTGATCGAATTGACATACCCATGCTTCTTTTTAAACTTCAAAAAATGGGAA